TCTGGAGTTCGCCTTTCCTTCTGTATACCTATATATATATATATATATATATATATATATATATATATATATATATATATATATATATATATATATATATATATATATATATATATATATATATATATATATATATATATATATATATCAAGAAATCAAAAATCTTCAAAGTAAATAAATTATATTTTTACGTTTCGGGGACAAGCCCCTTCTTCAGAATAACGCTACATCATCTCCGTCTCTTGCTTAAATAATCTAACGTTTAGCTATGCATAAATTAATTAAACCTCTTCCCTTAAATTAAGCCCACGTGGGACATAACTATTTAGTTTCTCAATCCAAAAGCTCTCCCTCTCAGTGGGGTTATTAACGTCCGTGACGTCAATAACCTGCACTAAAAAATCACTTAGACCTGAATGTCCCTCCCCCCAAAAATGGGCATACAGTTGTTGCCCACAAATATTTCTCTGCCCCCGCCCATATCTATTTAATGCACTCTTGTGGTTATTAAATCGCAATCTGGACGGTGTTATGGTATTCTCTACATATTGCAACCCACAGAATTTACAACTAATCAAATATACTATACCCTCCGAGTCACAATCGAAGCGATGATTAATGCAGAAAGACCGCCCCTCAACATGGCTTTTAAAAGTGGGGCTATAATTCGGATTTTGTTGTTGACCAGTTTGGTAGAGTGAGAAAAGTCGACAGGAATAATTTGTTAATGCGGAAAGAAGGTGTTAAGAATAGTAATAGGAATTGTTTTGTGATAGATTATCATCCAGCATTGAGGGAATTGCAAGTAATTGTAAGTTGGTCTGAAAGGTTTTTAAGTATTATGCCAGAACCACCAATGGTGTGTTTTCGTCGGTCTAAAAACCTTAAAGATCACTTAGTCCGTTCTAAATTGAGAAGGGAAGAGGAAACGGTCGTAGGGATGTTTAAGTGCGGAAAGAAGAAATGTAAAATCTGTGATAATGTTATTATTGGTGCTACTTTTAAAAGTCATGTTGAGGGGCGGTCTTTCTGCGTTAATCATCGCTTCGATTGTGACTCGGAGGGTATAGTATATTTGATTAGTTGTAAATTCTGTGGGTTGCAATATGTAGGGAATACCATAACACCGTTCAGATTGCGATTTAATAACCACAAGAGTGCATTAAATAGATATGGGCGGGGGCAGAGAAATATTTGTGGGCAACAATTGTATGCCCATTTTTAGGGGGAGGGACATTCAGGTCTAAGTGATTTTTTAGTGCAGGTTATTGACGTCACGGACGTTAATAACCCACTGAGAGGGAGAGTTTTTGGATTGAGAAACTTAATAGTTATGTCCCACGTGGGCTTAATTTAAGGGAAGAGGTTTAATTAATTTATGCATAGCTAAACGTTAGACTATTTAAGCAAGAGACGGAGATGATGTAGCGTTATTCTGAAGAAGGGGCTTGTCCCCGAAACGTAAAAATATAATTTATTTACTTTGAAGATTTATGATTTCTTGATATTTATAAATGAAGATTTTTTGGGGCTGGCTCTTGATATATATATATATATATATATATATATATATATATATATATATATATATATATATATATATATATATATATATATATATATATATATATGCATGCAATAACTATAAGACCTTTCAATCACTTTCAAAAGTTGTTGGCACATATGCAGTTTTAGGTCGTAAACACACAATACCGTAACCCTCACCTCTCCCCAATTAATGTTGTTTTCTCAATTCAAATACCAAAACCATAGCCCATAGTTTTGAAAAATGGCACACAACTCTATAATGGGGGGCGGGGGATCGACGTTTGTTCAAATTAAAGGTTTTTGTGGCATCTATCCCAAGGGCCAAGACATTTGAAACTGATTAAAGGTGGGGTAATGATTTTATTTGGCTGATTGGCTCCATGCATTATACTTTCTCTTCGGCCCCCACCCCGGCCATAAATAACTACAACAACAACAACAACAGCAGCAACTAGAACTTCGTGTTACATATAGTCATTTCACACTTGATTATAAGAGGAGATTTTTTTGTATGTTACGTAACACGCGCTCAAAACTAATCGTATAATATAGCCTATACCACTTGAGGTTATGACAAAATTTTTATTTTTCGATACATTTCTCAATCGGCAAACAAACTTAAAAAGTATGTTTAGTGCTTTATCTGTAAAATAATGCTTAAATGAAAAGATTTTAGATGATACACCAAAGAGAAAATGATGTATGAAGTTCAGTAAGTTTTGCTTATATGATGGCTGTAAATATGGCATCAATTTTAAAGCATCTTTGATAATTGTATTTTCATTGACATTGATTAACTATTATTTTATGTTTCTCAACCGGCAGATGCATTTAAAAAGGTAGCTAACTGTATAAACTAGAGAATAAAGCTAAAACAAAGTAATTTTGAAAGGAACGCCAAAACGATTTTAGGTTTTGTCTTTTGAACACTTTTCATTGCAAATACGTGACATTGAAAAAAATTGCCTCTTATTCTTAAACAGAAAATAAAGTCGCTGGGCACCTAAATGAGAGCTAATCTAGTTAGGTTATGCATAACGGTCCCAAACATTCATTATTTGTATACTGTAAAGGCATTATAAAACTATTATAGCCTTGTGTATGCACCTTTATTATATAGGCACACTTTTATTAATGATTTATGAATATGAAATGTTATATCATGCAGTCAAAACCTCAAATTTGAACTGAACCTGCATGATCCCAAGTCAACATAGTTCTTGGCTTCGCCTCGTTCTGGAATAAGAAACTCGTCTTGAAATCTGACCTAGTTCTCATTTTTGATTTTGAAATATTCGATTTCATTTAAGCAACGATACGGTTTTAATTTTCTTTGTGTTTGACGAAGAATGTTTTGCCCGGTGTCTTCTTACACAATCTCTACACTTCTTTTCTAGGCCGTCAGACATTGGCAATGAAGTGATGAAACTCATAAATGACGAGTCAAAAAACGGTCAAGTGTTATTAATCTCAAAAGATCCAGAAAGTCCCACGCAGGTGAAGGTTGAAAACATTGAGTTAAAATAACTGACGTTATATGTACACTTATTATCAAGTTTGAAATGCTCAATGTTTCATTTGACGAAAGGCAGTTTGTCAATAAAATCGAACTTACTGGTGAGTCTGTGGTGCACGTCTATAAGATAATGATAGGTAATCTATATTAAATATATCAATGTAATATCAGCTGTATGTAAAACCGCCGGGGCAGGTATATTATAGAGAGGTTCAGATTTGACTTCCACTACCGCTACCACCACCTCTCAATGCCTTAGATTGATATATTGACCAAGTTTAATCTGTATATAAATATGGTATATTATTATTAATCGGATATATCAAACGCATCTGATTGGTTAATGATCCCTATAATATGGTAGTAGTAGTAGTATAATAATAATATACCATATTTATACAGATTAAACTTGGTCAGCTAAAAAATAGTTGATTTGTTTATACTAAATTTATAGTCAATCCTATATTCCTATACTTAACTGGGTGGCGCAAAAAAAAGTTGCCCTGTTTGATTTATTTTAACTTACAAATTAAAAGAGCTATCACACCTAAACTACTTGCATGCATTGCATTCAGTATTGTCTAACTTAAATTTTGATATACGCCCTGTGCATTTTCGTGCAATATTGACCGAGAGAGCTGCGTTTAAACTTGAATAAACATTTTGGGAAGTGTCGAGAATTAGATAAAAACGGCCTGTTAAACTAATTTGATAACCGTTACCATTTTATCGTAAATATTCGTTTCAATGAAGTGAAGTTTAAATTAAAATTGTTTATTGGATGGATGTGCTCTTTTGTTTTTGTTTTAAGGTCTTTGGGAATGCATGAAAATTAACTTATATATATGAAGCGATTTTGATTAAAAGATTTATATTCTAAATATTCGGTGACCCTGGGGAATCAAATTCTAATGTTCCTGCAAGAAAGAAATGTCGCGTGTTTTTTTATAAATACGCCTCGTTTAACGAAGGACCAAAGAGTTTCGATATGTTTAGAATATGTAAGGGTAACTAATGCTCGTGAGGTTATTTCTGCGGCGTTGGGCATGTCTCTGAAAACGAACGTCATGCACTTTCTGACTTTCGTGTGTCTAAACACAGGTTATTGCTGTATTAATATTTGATAGGCCGTTTTTGGCTAATTTTCGACACTTTCAAAAATGGTTACTCAAGTTTAAACGTATAGCTCTCTCGGTCAATATTGCACGAAAATGCACAATTTAAGTTAGACAATACTGAATGCAATGCACGTAGTTCACGTGTAATTGCTCCCTCAGTTTTTAAGTTAAAACAAATCAATACTTAACAGGGCAAATTTTTTTTTGCGCCACCCGGTATATTAACTAAAAACTACTAACTATAATTTTGGCGCCAGTATTTAAAAATATTTAAGAATCCACTAATCAGTTTTCATAAAAAAAGTTTCTACACTTTTGCTTAAAATGTAAATGTGATGTCTCATTCCTCGAATCTTCTGGCAGTTCGTTAAAAACCTGAGCTCCTGGTTATAGCAAGCCTTTAATGGCAAAGCAGGGTCAACAGTTTTCGTCCATGGACCGCGCAGCAACTTTATGTTGGCGGGCGGGGGGGGGGTGAGATGAAGGAAATAAGTTTGCGAATATTCATAGCGGGTTCCGGTTTTGAATGACATAGGAAGATGGAACGCTTTTTGCAACTCTGCATCTCGTCTGTTTATCTCAGACGCACTTGAAGGCGGATCGTTTGATTTTGACTGGAGAAAAGGGAAATTTTCTTTGAGCCCGACACCGCATTTTTTCATCTCCTGAAGCTTTTGGATATTTTTGTCGTGCAAAACAATTCCACAATTTTTTTTTCTTGTCCACAGATCAAGTATTTAACTAACTAGTATATATTAATAAAAAGAATAACGGGCAGATTAGGTCCATGTTAACGTCGTTTACTGTGTATTTCGTATATCTGTCCATCCACATGTTGTTGAGGCTATTCCTATAATTAGTATAAACCTACTAGTAGGCTATCACATTTCGTGCCTTCTGATTGGCTACGCTACTAGTAGGCTATTAGTGATAGCCTACTAATAGAAAATTCAAAATGGCGGAAAATTCGCGTTTTGCACTTTTACCGAAGTGTCTGATGATTTTTTGGACGACTTGTTGAACAATTCTGTACTAAAAAACCCCGAAAAAAGCAACAAAAATATGGAATGGCAATTTTTAAGAGTAAGAAAATAGACAAAATAACATACACTCAATGAAATTTTAAAATTAAAACTGAATTTTGTAAAACATTTTACGCGAACAAAAACTAAAATATTTGTTTACCTTTAATGGTTTTATAATGTTTTTTTTTGTGTATTTTTGTATTGTGTTTGCAGCCTAGTTGTAAATTAATGTTAAAGTTTATACTAAAACAATTAGACAACTCGGCCTCGTTGTCTAATTGTTAATTAGCGTTAAATTATAGCTGCAGTTATAGATGATGTACATACTCACAGGGTCTTGTATATAGGCAGATCATGGCATCATGCCGTAAAATATGTGAAACCTAAGGTTTAATTGTGTCATGTAGCTAACTGATGATAGATAGACATCTACTTATGACTATGGATGTTATACAATCTACAAAAACGTGGTTCACAGAATCGGGTAGAAAATTTGACTATGCCGTGAGGATAAAATATATATAAAACATGTTCAGACCTGCCAACCTTGGCAACTAACATACGGTATAGGGAGAATTCTTATTTAAACACTTAATTTGACGGGAGAATTGGCTGTTTAGAGGGAGAATTGAAAACCCATCAAAGCCCCTTTCATTACAGCAGTCAGATTAGTGGATCGTTCAATTGGGCATGTTAAATTGGGCACTATCCTGGACTGAAAAGACGACATGAAGACGTGTTTTAACAAATATAAATAGTAAATACTTCAATTTTGACTTTCAGTTGCCAATACTAGTAGGAGAAATTTTTCACTACCGGGTCCGGGAGATCACAGGTTTATACCGGGAGACTCCCGGCTATGTCGGGAGAGTTGGCAGGTCTGCATGTTATTTAGACTGAGCAGTATGGCAGTTGTTCCGTATATATTATAGTCTAATGCAGGCTAAGGCCCTGTCACACTATTGCGTATGAGAGAAACGTATGAGAAGCGTATGAAAATTAATGAAATAATTTTCATACGCACAAAAATCCTTTGAAATGCCAGCGTATGAGTACCGACTACCGTACATCTGGCGTACCTCTGGCGTATTCAGCGTGTGCCTAGAGTTATATGCTTATCATATATTACAGTGCGTCTACTGTAAGTGGGGCCACTTAGAGAACACTAACCAATCGCATTGCAGAACAGAAAGAAAAATCTAATCAAACTAAAGCTCGTCCAATCAAAAGAAAGATTCAGGAAGCCATTAACTGCAATGTTTACTTTTACATGTCTATTTTTACCGTTTGACATTCGTTTATTTCTTCGAATTGTTTTTGCCCTAATGCTGATTGGCTAATGCGCCGTTTGTTGATTTTTTCACTTTCTGTTCTGCAATGTGATTGGTTAGTGTTCTCTAAGTGGCCCCACTTACAGTAGACGCACTGTAAAGGATACGTCCGATACGCACAAAATTTTTGAATATGCTTAAAAAATATTTTCTGCCTCGCCGTATGCCACCGTATGCGACCGTGCTTGAAACGTATACAACCTATGGCTATGCCTAACGTATCCCTAGCGTATGTCAGCGTATACCGGCGTATGAGTGATATTTTTCATACGCTGACATACGCTAGTACGATACGCAATAGTGTGACAGCTAGGGCCTTAACGTAAGAATCACAGCAGAGCCATGCAGAGGCAAATTTACGTGTAGTAAACTCCTTAAATATCACTTTCGACCTCTGCAATGGAAAATACTTATTTTAAATACAAGCCTTATAGGAAACCCAATGACGATCCATTATAAGTAGGCAGACACTCAAACCACCCATAAACAAACGCATCTCACTTCTCTCATCAGACGAGCAAACATTTCAGCAGACTGCTCCTCGGTCCAAACTGCGCTACGTCAAGTAATTTCGATAACAACCTATAAGCCTATATATGAAAGAAACACCACAACAACCACGCAGAAATAGGCAACGCAGCATCATTTGGTTTAACCCTCCTTTCAGTAAGAATGTCAAAACCAACATAGGACGCAATTTTTTCAGCCTGATTGACAAACATTTTCCGCCTCGCGGCCCTCGCCACAAACTTCACATACGCACATACGAGTCACTATATAAAAGCTGATAAAGGTTTAGGCTATGTTTACATTGTATCGGATCACTTTGCGTCCGACGCAAAAACCATACCGGATAGGGCTTCTGTTTACATATGAAATGTTGTTATCGTCTCTGTATTGATATTTTGTTGACGTTAGATAAAATAAGTAATATTAAGGCCAATGGAACTGTAGATTCTGTTTACCGTCCGAGAATTTAAGAAATCTGATGCGGGTTTTTTTCATTATTCATTTTTCATTATTTTTGTTATTATCTATTTTCCGACCCAAAATGATCCTTAAATCGTTTTCTTTTGATCTCGACCATCAACACTTTTGTCCAGCATTCTTTTATCATTTTTGGGCTTTCCTTTGCTGAAAATTTATTTGTCACGCCATTGTTTTCGAATTTGCACATGTCAGACTCGCAAATTTCGGAGTGTACCGAACAAATTCCGACTGATCCATTATATACATCAGCGATGTACGGCTTTTTATATCGAAGATTTGATGATTTGTTGTATATTTGAAAGTTTCGATGCGTAGAATTAAAAATAATGACAAATAATGAAAATAATTAAGAATGATGAAAAATTCTTGCGGTAGTTGCAAGCACATGCGGGCGGTGGACGGTAAACAGAATCTACAGTTCCATTGGCCTAATCTCTAAGTTAATTAGTTAATAATAGACAGTGGATATGATTGACAGTTTGCATATTTCACGAGTCGAAAACAACATGAGGACAAGGCGTGTGCTTAGAAAAACATACGAAGCAAATGTAGATTAAAATGTGTTAACCCGCCAAGAAATCGAAAAAAAAACAGTGTAAACAATATACGATTTGACGGGCAATGTATTCATTTCATCGGACCACAAATTCGATTTCCAATGCTAACCTGGCGTCCGTAAGAAATATATAAACGAAGATAAACTTGTGTGCTAACCAGAAGCTAACCATGGCTGAAGCGAAAGCTTTATCTGAAGCGAAACTAAGACGTAGAACTGCTAAAGCCGCGCTAACCCGTATAAGTAAAACGCTGAGAATTAAACTACAAAACGATAGACCCCTAGGCGAAATAACCGAAGCTTTGCAAAAGATGAAACAGGCTATAATGATTTAGTCGTTAAACATGAAGAATATGCCCAGAACATTGAAAATGATGAGGAATTCGAAACAGAGGAAAAATGGCTAGAAGAAAGTCAGGATGCGTATCTTCAACTAGAATGTACAACAAATGATTATATTATAAATAAAAACATGCAACAGACATTGGGTGGAAGTGTTGAACAACCGGAAGCGAGTAGCGGAAATAACGGAAGTGAAGCCCAAACGAAACTGAACAGTCGGAAACAGTCGGGGAAACTTCGGCAACTGAACAGCAAGCTGTAAATGTGAACAACCAAGAAGAAACTTCTGAAAATAATGCTCAATCGAGTAATAATGTCCAAGAAAATGTTCAACAAAGCGCCACAACACCCTGTGGATTCAAAATGGAAAGACCCAAGATGCCGCGATTTGCTGGAGACGTCCGAGATTACGTCATATTTCGAGCTGATTTTAAACATGCTGTAGATTCAAGATACGGTAAAAGAGATGCAATGTCCTTGCTACGTACGAGCCTTAGCGGAAGACCCTTGGAGCTGATAAAAGGAATTGGTAGCGACTACGATGCTGCATGGGAGCACCTAGATTCGATATACGGAGACCCTAGATTTGTCGCAGACACTGTCACCCATGACATTTCAAAATTCAAACCACTTCGTGAAGATGAAGACTCAAGATTTTGTGATTTAACCCAACTGGTTAGAAGAAGCTACAACACGGTCAACAGTCAACAGACAGTTTGACATGGATAACAATCACATGATAGCAATAATTGAACAGAAATTGCACATGAATGACAGGAAGATCTGGTCGCGCCATTTGGAAAGCAGTGGAAAAGAGGCTACATTAGAAAATCTAATCACATGGATGACAACAGAAATGAAAACAAGAATGAGAGCTACAGCGCCTCTGAGAAGTATGCAATCCAGGCATCCGGTTGGAAGTTTCAATGCTGATATTTCTGGAAGTAACCCTAAGTGCTGGGTGTGCAAGAGTTCCAACCATTTCGTTGATCAATGCAGAAAGTTTTCAGCTATGAATCCCAGTGAACGATTACAAGCTGTTAAGGACAATCATGCCTGTTATAGTTGTCTTAAGCGTGCAGATAGAGACCACAGATCATCAAATTGTTCCAGAAGACGTCAGTGCCAAGAGAAAGTGAATGGTAACCAGTGTAAATACTACCATCATCATCTACTCCATGAAGAGAACCCACATCCTGCTGCAAAGATTGGAACATTTACAACAGACAAAACAGCAATGCTTCCTATTGTACAAGCGAACATTCTCGGTTTAAATGGTCTAAAAAAGAAAGGAAACGTGTTATTAGATTCCGGCGCTCAGATCAGTTTAATTAAAACGTCAGTCGCCAAAGATTTAAAGCTAAAGGGAAAGGACGTTGTTGTGACTCTTATAAAAGGAGGGTGTCAAGAAGAGGAATTACACACCAAAGTATATCGTGTTACGGTTCAGTCGCTAGAAAATCAATCATGTCACACAATTGAAGCCATTGGAATTCCCTCTGTTAGTGATGAAATTTCCGTTGTAAAAATAGATGAGGTAATCAGAAAGTTTGGTTTATCAAGAGGTGACATTCGAAGAGGAACTGGTGATACGGACTTGTTGATTAGTATCGATCAAGCGAAGCTCCATACCGGAGAAACGAAAGAAGCAGGAAATCTTGTGGCACGCCATTCCCCTCTAGGTTGGGTGATCTTCGGTGCTACAACTAGTCAGCAACTTGGAACCAGCAGAGTAAATCACGTGAAGTTCGCGACGCCCGTAGACATGACCAAGTTTTGGTCTACCGAGTCAATGGGAGTCTCTGTCAAGCCATGCTTTTGTGAGCCGCAAAAGCTAAGCCCTATTGAAAGAAAAGAAGCGAAAGTGATCGAGGATTCTTGTGAAAAGTTAAACGGACAGTGGCTTATATCGAATCCATGGAGAAGAGATCCATACGAATTACCAGATAATAGAGAGCAAGCGGAAAAGAAGTTGCAGGCGACAGAGCGACGGCTTTTGAAGAATCAAGAACATGCAACCGCATATGATAAAGAGATGGTCGACATGAATAAACTCGGCTTCTCGAGAAAATTATCAGAAGAAGAGCTTAACCAGTACAACGGCCCGGTGCATTATGTATCACATCACGAAGTCTTACGACCCGAAAGCAAAAGTACTCCTCTGCGGATTGTTTTTAATTCATCTGCAGTTTATCAAGGACATAAGCTTAATGACTATTGGATGAAAGGACCCGATCTTTTGAACGACCTTTTTGGTGTCTTACTCCGTTTTCGTGAAAGTCGAACTGCTGTTTTAGGGGACATTTCGAAAATGTACCACCCTATCTTAATACTGGAAGTTGATCAGCAAGTGCATAGATTTATCTGGAGAAATTTGGAAACTGAACGTGATCCCGACACTTACGTGAAAACGGTTTTGACGTTTGGCGACAAGCCTGCCCAAGCGATGGCGCAGATCGCTCTAAGAAAGACCGCGCAAGAATCAGAAGAAGTGTACCCGAAAGCTGCAAAGGTTTTGAAAAACAACACGTATATGGACGATATTTGTAATTCACTGGAAACAAATGAGGAGGCTCGGCAGCTTACCCGTGACGTAGACGAGGTTTTGGCAAAAGGTGGATTTGCAGTGAAAGAGTGGATATCAAATTGCAATCTGGGTGAAGAAAACCAGTCATCGGAAAAACAAGTTGTGAAGTCTGATCGAGAGAAAAGTCCGATAGAAAAGGTTCTTGGACTTGAATGGGACCATCAAAATGATAAGCTAAAGCTCCACACAAGAGAAATCCAGAACGCCAGTACGAAGCCAAAAAAGCTGACAAAGCGGTTAGTCCTTAGTCGAATCGCGCTTGTTTTTGATCCCATCGGATTAGCTTCAGCTTTTCTTATACGTGCAAAGATTGGCATGCAACATCTATGGAAGAAAGGACTTGATTGGGATGACGAACTTCCCTTTGATTTACAAGAGTTCTGGAATAATTTGTTTCACGAACTGTCATGTCTGAATAGCCTATGCTTCGAAAGATGTCTTACACCACTGAATGCAATTGAACAACCCGTGTTATGCACGTTTTCGGATGCTTCCGTGGAAGCTTTTGGTGCCTGTTCGTACATACGATGGAAATTAGCGGATGGAAGTTTTGGCGTACGTTTCATCGCAGCAAAGTCGAGGGTATCCCCCATTAAAGCAACTAACGATCC